ATTCCCCATTTTTTTCCATGTACATAATAAGCTACAAATATCAAGATGCGTATACAAGAAATTAGTACAACATACAAATGCAATTCATTTTTCTGAATTGAAATTTTATTATAGACTCGTTTTGATTAAGGTTTACTTGCTGCATACACTCTATCTGAGTTTCAAGATTTGGCTCAAGCCTGTAGATGCAGTTTCTCACCCCCTTCATGATATCTACATCATCTAAGGTGACATTGGAGTACAATTTCTGTGGGTTAAGAAATAAACCTGCACATGGTTTGTTATATGGAAAAAGTTTATATAACGATGCAACCTTATAATGAAGAACTACGGATGCACCTCAAAAATCCATCCGGAAAGGTAGTTTTAATGTTGAAAAACCCTTTGATTGATGATCTCGACATCGAGATGTATGACCATGAAAAATAAAAAGATTTTAAGTCTCAGAAATAGTGCATTTTACAACATACTATCTATTCCGTCCATTTTCAAGATTTTCATATTTTTATAGATCTACTTGATTTTAACCATTTTTGAAATTTAAAATTTTATAATTAGATATAAAAATAGATTTTGAGATAATCCGAAGAACATGTTCCATCAAAATTATATACCATGATAAAATTTGAAGGTGCACCTGACCTCTACAGCTACGGATGCATCCGTATGCCAAATGCACACTTGTTATATTTTTAATTACGGTAAATTTACTCAAAGTTGAGAAAGAATCATGAATTGGGACAATGAATCATAAATTACCTGCCGCATTGATATCTCGATGCAGTTGGTTTCTCCACCTACGATCAACGATCTCCATTATCTCATCAATCCATATGTTACTATGAAATATAGCTTTCCTTGCACGTCTCATTGCATCAAACAAACAGAAACCCCATTGTTCGTTTATCATCAAAGTTAACTAACCTCAACACTTGCATTAGAGGTTCAGTTACAGAAACATGGTTGCATCAAGTTCAGAACATCTGATCGACAAGGATGGTTTCAACCTGCCTTCCATGTTGACTCGTTGATGCCCTATCAGTTTACCCCTCGTCATAGCGTATCATTAACCCCAATCTTGCTTTGTTGCCCAATATTGATTGTATAGTAAGAAACACTGTGGTGAACCTAGTAGTGGACTCTCGGACAATCTCTCGCATGCAATGCTCCTTCATCAAAGCATGGAGGTACGTGTGATTGTATATGAATATTGTATCCTACTTGCACTTCAAAATACAAGTTTTAACGCTCTTTAGCTTCCATATTTCGTTAAACATCAAATTAATACAATGGGCAGCACAGGGAGTCTAATAAAGATTGGGTCTTGTCTCCATTAGCAACAAGCCTGCGTTTCTGTGGTTTGCAACATTGTTAGTTACTATGTTAGTCACCACTTGGACCACATTTTCACCCAACCTCATCTACAATCTTGTCCATGTGTGTGCATATCTGTCTTTTGGTATGTTTTTTTCTTGATATGTCAATACTAGAGCGGTAAACAATGCATGCCCCTAGGACAACCTATAAAAAAATTAACAAGATGCTTGTGGGACTTGTCCTTCCAACCGTCTGTCATAATGGTCACTCAGCAGACCTTGAACTTCGCAATATGTTTATCTACATCATGAACAACAGCTTCTAAACATGGAACTGCAAGTTCTTTCGCAGTTGGGCCTCTAACACCTAGCCCTGCCTTAGGTGTAGCAGATACCATCTGTGGGTAGAAGTCGGAGCTCGTAGAATTAAATGATAGCTCATTAAGTCCAGAGGGTTTGTCGGTCATTGGTGGCACATCTATGGGTTCATGTCGGTGAGTAGTAGATGGCTGACTATAAGAGGATGGGCGACTAGAGAAACTACACCACAATCTACTAGATGTGGACCTAAGAAATGAAGGCCCGCATCCTCCCCTACTCGGTACTACAAGTTGTTGAGGTTGATGGCTAGTGGATGCACCATCCCTTCTCCCATACATCTCTTGAATTTCCATTTGTCTATAATTCATCTCTTGGAGGCTGGCAATCCTAGCTCGTTCCATTTGTACTTCGAATTATGCTATTTGGTCCTCAACCCCTCCCTTCCTCCCCCCCCCCCCCCCCCCACCTTTTTGGGACTTTTGTCCCCCCTTCCTACTTCCTCCACATCCCTTTCTCTTTGCACATTTTTTTCCTTTTCCATCAGTAATTAATTTTAACATTAGTTGTTTTACTTCCGGTGGCACATCTTTACAACCGGTGACATTGTCTTTTACTCAAGTAAGGTGCTCTTTTAGGCGATAAACACCACCACCCATTTCCTTGTTACAAAAATTACATCGAACTCTTATCTTATCATTCACTTTTATGCCGTACTACCACGCCACATCTCCCCTCATCTTATTATTTTCTTGTAAATTTTTCTGAACTTACAAGTTCATTAAAAAATTTATTTTACCAATAAATTTTACTTTTCTTGTAAAATAACATATTTGTTTGGGATATATTTGCCTCAATATTTTACCCAAGCAAGGTGCTCTTACATTTTCGATGACCCAAAAACTAAATAAAGCCTTACAAAGTGATCCATCCCTCTTTGCATAATGCAACTCAAGGTAATTAAGCATACAAGTAAACACACAAAATAAATAAACTAATAAATGAAGTGCAAACAAAATTTCATTTTTAAGATTAAATTATTTGCAACAAAGATTTGTATTTAGTTCTTTATGGGGCCATAGAAGAAAATAAGAAAAGAAAAAGTAAATTATGGATGATGCAACAATATATGCTTGTATATTGTTCAAATAGAAGAAAGAACCAGTGTATACATGTATGCAGATGTGAGTGCACATGTGGTGCATAGTTTAGGCCATGCCACTGCATTATCCATAGTTTGTTACTTTGTTCTCGATGTCTATATAGTTTTATCAACCATGTTATTCACCATAGTGTACCCAATATTTTCTATCATAAATAAAAATCTTATAATTTTTAGTATACGAGATATACTCATCCTTCCTGTACCATATAGTAAGTAGATGGGGATGTGTTAGACCAGAGGATGCACTTAATAAAAATAACTACATCATGCACTTAACAAAAATAACTAAAAAGATCAAGCAAAAAAAAATCAAGCTAAAGATTAAGCGACATTATCATGCACTATATTATACACTTATTTTATTTTTTTGTTCGGAAAACATATAACATTAAAAATATATATATATTTATTTTTGTCATATTCATCACAAAAAACATATTTTTATAAAAAAACATAATTTTATTGAAAAACACAAATTTATTAAAAAAATCTAAAATCGAGCCAAAGTCATCAAGAACACTAGAATTAACCCAAAATAAAAGGAAATTCAATTCGTATGATAAAAGATGTACTATTTTCCGCCATTATTACAAATACAACTATATCATGCACTTAATACAAATAACTAAAATGATCGAGCAAAAGAAATCGAGCTAAATATCGAGCAACATTATCATGCACTATATTATACACTTATTTTATTTAAAAAATATATAACATTAAAAAGAAGGAATATATATATATATATTCTCATATTCATCACAAAGAACATAATTTTATAAAAAAAAACGTAATTTTATTGAAACGAAAATTTTATTAAGAAACTCTAAAATCGAGCCAAAATCATCTAGAACACCGAAATTTTCGAGTCAAAATCAACCCCCAATCTTCTTTTTTTTGAACAAATTAAAATAGGGATATGATGAATACTTCGATTACGATTCAAATGCCCCACATTTCAGCATTGAGAGTGTTCTTCAAAAAATGGCGGAAATTTCAGTTCATGAAATTTTCATGACAAAAACTGAGGAAAAAAATCCATATAAAAAAAATTTAGTCGGTAATAAATCAACATACCTATTATATTTGTCAGATGAAGCCTTGATGATCAAAATACACAGCTCAGTTTGATAAAAAGCGACCAATAGATAGATCAGAAATCAATTTTTTGGATCAAACACAGTCCTTCGAGTAACAGCTTTTCGGGCCGAAATCAACCTCCAATCTGTCTCTCTTTGGACAAATTGGAATAGGGAAAATGATGAATGCTTCAATAATGATTCAAAGCCCTCAGTTTCATGAAGATCCTTGCGGTATTGAAGCTGTTATTGAGAAAATGACGGAAATTTCAAAGCTTTGAAAATCCGCCACTTCAATTTGCAAATTCTCATTCTTTTTCGATTTTTCATTCTAGATTCAATGTTTTATAGAGATTTGGTAGTGTTATACAACAATAAAGCACCAAAAAATGGCAGAAAATTGAATCTAAAAAGTTGTAAACGGTGGATTCATGGGTTCGTGTATTATATAATGGTCCTTTTTCAAATAGCGCTTTTTTTTTTTTTTTTTTAAATATTCGTTATTTTAAAAAAAACGCCCGTTTTATCATTAAACCGGTCCGGTTTTTAATAAAATTCACCGGTTTGAGGCCTAACCGGCTGGTTTTGGAACCAAAATTTTTTTCCTGAGGTGTTTGTTAGACTACAGGTACTACAAAACTGGGCCTACCCGGACTCGGAACCCTAGCGGTTCTGAGCTAACCGGTCGGTTTTGCGAACATTGTGCTAGATCACCTAATCCAACTTTGGTTCAGTGGTTAGGGCTTAAGATCTTGATTTCTCACCATATAAAATCTTGGAAGAAAGAAGACTCGGGAATGCACCATTCATTGATAGTAGCTTTGCTACCAAAGCTGCCAACCGAAAATCTGTTCCAGGCAACCAATAGAAATGTACTCTTCTGTTGCAATTTTCAAAAGATATTTATGTTTACTGTGATCTAAATATAGTTCAGAGTGGAATTACTTTTTTTTTTAGTTTTTTTTTTTGGATTGGGGGGGGGGGAAGGTGGCATGTCTTTATGAATGGGTGTAGATGGTACTTCGTGACTTTCTTTTGGAAACTTGTTTCTTTTTACTATTTTCTGTCTCTGCGTTACTTTTCCTTATGCATGTGTGATGTTATTGCTTTGGGTCTTCACAGCCGTGTGTGCGGGAACTCCCATGGATTGATTAGGAAGTACGGGCTCATGTGTTGTAGGCAGTGCTTCCATAGTAATGCCAAGGCTATTGGCTTTGTCAAGGTAACTTGATCTATTTTCATTCCCTTTCTTCGATTCTTTCTGTTTATAACAATCACTAACAATCGCATAGTGATCTTACAGTTCTCTAATTCTAGTATCTTGATTCTTGATTCCAGTATCGTTAAGGAAGAAATTGGCACTCCAACAGGACACGAAAGAGAGATGCGTGTTGGTCAATTTTTGCGTCTTGTCTTATTTGGGTGCGTTTTTGGTACTCTTCATTGAACTTTGGATATGAGAATATCAGTGGTTTAATTTTGAGATTTCAAAACCTGTTTAACTCAATCCATTAAGGAGTAAGTTCCTGGTTTCTTTTGGACTTCAAATGTAATATGGGTGCTACCACATGTTGCTAATATTTTGTTCCTAGCTAATCAAACATATATCATAAGCAATCCTATTGTGTGATATAAAACAACGGGCTTTGAGCGAAGGGGCTGATTCTCAACTGTCCATTGTTAACATAGGATAGTCTGACAAGCCTTTAGAATCTTGTTTCCAAACAACGGATTGGCCCAGTTCAGTTTTCTTTTGGTCAAATTTTACGTGAAAATGACCACTTAAAAATGACCTTGTGATGCATTGTATGAGAAATTAGAGTTGGGACTTTGTCATGGTGATAACATTGTTGTTCGGGATGGAGTTTCGATAAGCTGTATTGCTATTAGGAAAAAGTTTATGTATGGTATTAACTTTATACTTTACTAGTAAGGTGCACCTAAGAGACCCACTAGAGAAGGATGTTCTTATGATTGAAAACTCTCAAATCAATCATCTCGTCCGCGAGATTCATAGACATGAAGAAAAGGGGATATTTTGTTCTAAGAATAGTTCTCCTAGCACATTATGTAGATCATTAATTTTCAAGATTTTTTGAAAATTTCGAGTGATTTGGATTGATCATCGTGATATCGAACTACGGATGCACTTCAAAAATCTATGGATGCACCTCAAAAATCTCAAAAAATTTCAAATGATTTTCGAACACATTTATGTAGGACTATGGATGCACCTCAAAAATCCATTGGAAAAGGTAGTTTGAATGTTAAAAAGCCGATTGATCATCTCGACATTGAGATGTATGACCATGAAAAATAAAAAGATTTTAAGTTTTAGAAATAATGCATTTTACAGCATATTATCTATACCGTCTATTTTCAAGATTTTCATATGTTTATAGATTTACTTGATTTTAATCATTTTTTAAAGTTAAAATTTATAATTAGATATAAAAATAGATTTTAAGATAATCTTAAGAATATTTTACATTAAAATTATATACCATGATAAAATTTGAAGGTGCATCTACACCTACGGATGCATCCATATGCTAACTGCACCTATATATATATATATATATATATAT